TGAATTTTCATTGAAAAACCTAGCGAATTCACTTTAAAATTCTTTTGGATTTCTGTTAAACTTTGGCTCATCTGCGCGGAGAGAAATATTCAATGAAAATCACGTATCTTTTTCGTAATTCCGGAGCGAAATGTGGTTGTAGGCAATTTTACGGAACTGTCACGGAATTGTTTCGGAGCCTTCCGTAATTTTTATCTGAATCTCCTGTGAAAAATTACGATACCGTCACTTAAATTTTCTGAGCCGATTCCGTAATCGGTGAGTGAAGTGTGAGTTCCGTAATTTTTACTGAACATTTCTCTCCGTGTGAGCGTTTCTCTGAATAGAAATGATTACCGGAAAATATTCAGTGGAAAAAGTAATAGAATTCGATTTTTCTGTACAACTTATTCAGTTGGGATATTTTCTGTAGAAATTCCGCGGCTCAAATGTGTTCTTTTTTATTTTCTAATGAATTGAATGGATGAATTTGTGATTGAGCATTTCTATTGGAAAAAGGCCCCACATGGAGAGAAATTTTCTAGAAAAATTCTAGTACGAGTACTGGAAAAAAATTACAATCCACCGGCTGTGGAAAATTCTAGTGCTGTTAAGGTAAAATTTCTCGGTATTTCTGGTAAAATTTCTGGGGATTTCTGTAAAATTTTCACAGAAATACGGGGAACAATTCACGTTTTCCCCAACAAAATTTCTAGTGACGGCACTGGAATTTTTTCCTGGCCATCATTTTGCGCCTCTTTTCCTGTGCGAGCACTAAAATTTTTCTAAAAAATTTCTCTGTGTGAACTGTCACGGAATTTTTCTGGAGCGTTCCGTAATTTTTATCTGAATGTCCTGTGAAAAATTACGATACCGTCACTTAAATTTTCTGAGCCGATTCCATAGTCGGTGAGTGAATTCTGAGTTCCGTAATTTTTACTGAACATTTCTCGCCGTGTGAGTGTTTCTCTCAATAGAAATGGTTACCGGAAAATATTCTGTGGAAAAAGCAATAGAATTCCATTTTTCTGTACAACTTATTCCGTTGGGATATTTTCTGTAGAAATTCCTCGGCTCAAATTCATCTTTTTTTTTATTTTCTAAGAAATTGCATGGATAAATTTTTTATTCAGCAATGAAGGGGTAAAACGATACAAGTCAATTTTGACTATTGACCAGTTTTTAATGAATATCTCGGAATCTAAGGGAGATAGAAAAATTTTTGTTATGACCTTTTTTGTAGACCCAATTGAGAGCTACAACAAATGTAATTACGAAAATTTCGCTATCTCCGTTTGATTCGGAAGTATTCTTCAAAAATTCAAAACGAAAGCAAAAACAGTTAGAAATGGAAATGAAAAAAAATGAAATGGCTTTTTTCATTCAATTTTTCCACTTATGAATCAATCCCGGCAATATTCTCGCGAAACATTGAACAAAAGAGTTCCTCGACTTGGGGTATAATTGAACGGGGTCCACCGACGAGCATCAATCGGCTGAGTTTTTGTGTGAGATGAATGGAACGACTCATTTGGCATTGACAATGAGGGACCGGCAGCATCGTACGACGATTCAATCAATTTAGTCTTATTATATTACCGAGAGTTCTTTTTTTTCTCTCGAGGCACTCATTTAAGTAATACTCGTCTCCTTCGGCGCTGGAATAAAAAGTTTTGATTCGGTTTTCACGGTTTTTCTTAAGATTCTATTTTTATGTTGAACTTTGATTGATTCGTTAAGGTAATCATTGGAATTTGCACTTCTCAATCTTGAGATATTGATAGGTATCTCAACGCGTCTGATGCGATTACCTTAAGATTAAAAGTGTCCGTGAATTTTTCAAGATTTCAACTAAACCGAAAAAAACATGTCGATTTTTCACTTTGGTTGAATTTGAAATTGAAAAAAAGATTTGAAAAAAAACTCCATAGAAAACGGACAGAGAAATCTTTTTATTTATTCAGAGTTTTTAATTTCAATTAAAAACTCTGAATATGTAAAAAAATTTGTTGAAGAAAAATAACATTTTTTAGGGAATTGATGAAGAATATTCAGTGTACATGAAAAATGTTGTAGATGCGTTATTGAGGGCTCGGGAGTAAAAGATGCTGAAATGTGGGGAAAATTTGGTGTTATGAGTTCTCAGCCAAAAAGAGATTAAAAAATCTGAAAGATGGCCATAAAAAATTGTTCATTTTACAGAAATCGGATGGAGTGAATTGACGGTGATCTGAAGAAGCTAAATAATTTTAAAATATGTTGAAAAATGCGAGGTTGTGGCGACGCCATCTTGGAAACTCCTTTTGGAGGCGGGAGGGGGTAGCCAAGCAAAATGGCGACACCCACACCTATCCACCACCACTTCAGCATTCTAGAAAATTATTTATAAAAATGAGACAGTAATGTCAACTCATATTAAACAAGGGGGACGTTCCTCTTCTATTGCGTATAGCAGTTATTTTTGCTAATAAATTAGCAATATGTTTCCGAATGGTTATTTTGAATTATTTTGAATTCGCAATCAGCCCACACATCTGAAAGATGGCCTCAAAAAATTGTTCATTTTATAGAAATCGGATGGAGTGAATTGACGGTGATCTGAAGAAGCTAAATAATTTTAAAATATGTTGAAAAATGCGAGGTTGTGGCGACGCCATCTTGGAAACTCTTTTTGGCGGCGGGAGGGGGTAGCCAAGCAAAATGGCGACACCCACACCTGGCGATCACTTGAGCATTCTAGAAAATTATTTATAAAAATGAGACATTAATGTCAACTCATATTAAGCAAGGGGGAAAAATTTCATATTTTTACATTTCAGGCCATTCCACATAATTACCAATGAAAATTAGAACATGTGAAAATCGGACGATTAAAAATTTTCCATTCGGAAGCAATTAAAAACTACTAAACATTTACTGAACACTTAATTGATGAGAAAATTAATAAAATTGAAAATTTGAAATTCAATTCATCTTCAGTTCTACCAATTCTCCATTGGAAACTTGAATCATAAAGTTTCACCACTGAATAAATAACTACAAATAGACCATAGAAATCGCCCCATTTTCCGTTACTCGATTAAAAAACAATTACGAAGATACATATAACAACAGTCATTATTTTATTCTCACACACTTTACAATCGTCTTAACAAATACCACATGTAATCATCAGTTCCCCATAATAATCTCTGTATTTAAATCGTGAAAAATAAATAAACATAAATAAGTGTTTCATTAAAAACTGTTACAATTAACACATTGTGACTGTATCGACTAAGTACACTCGTGCATTTGGATATTCCTGCGTTTCGTTTTAATTTATCCTGCTCTGTGCATTATTGAATTCGTTGATAGGGAACTTGCATGATTTTTTTTTCATTTTTCATCTCAAGTTTCGGCCTTGAATGGTTATTTTTCGTTTATGAACATCATAAATCGGGGAGGGTGAGGCAAAATGAAGCAGGCGAAAAACTTCGACGCAATTCAAACAAAGGAAAAATTTTTTTATCAAATTTTGGTTATCATCTTTTTTTATATTGGAAGTACTGATGAGAATAATAATTTTCTCTTCATCTTATAATTCAATTAACGATAATTCAAGTAATTAGATTAAGCCGACTACCCTTTTCTTTTTTTGTTCAATAGAAATTCAGCATCACATTTTCCTTTTTCCCGATCTGGATCTCCTCTTGGGTCTTCCTCTGGAATTCCGATTTTGCTCTTTCATTTTCTTGTTCCATTCTACTGAATGGAAAATTATTATTCTCATCCGTACTCCCAAGAATAAAAAAAGTTGATAAAAAGAAACATAAAAAAAAAATTTTTTTTTACTTGAATTGCGTCATTTTATTTGCCCGCAGTCTCCCCTATTATTCGTTGATTAATCATTGGTTGTCGATAGTTGAAGATTTCAAACGCATCGAAATCGCCAATGACGTCACAAGGGCGGTCGAACGCTGGACCAGTCACGGAATGGCTCGAGCCAACCTAACCCAATTTTGACGTGCGCCTTGTCCAATGGGGGACGGCAATTCCCCTCGCTCCTCACATTCGACCAATGGAGCGCTACCCAGTATTGCCCTTGTCAGTTTGTGACGTCATGACCGAAATCATAGGTTTTAAAAACATCTGATTATCAATCAATTATTGTAAAATATCTGGGCAATATTTCTCCATAATTCTTGCCGTCTGGCTGTCTATGGATTGCGCAAGATGGGATCCATGCAAGTTCCACATTGTTTTGGTTAGTCTTCACGCACGAAAAAATTTAATAGAAGAACCTAGCGAATTCGTTGGAAATTTCTATTGGATGTCAATGGAAAAAGTCAATAGAATTTGATTTGATACCTTCACGGACGAAAAAATTTAATAGAAAAACCTATCGAATTCGTTAGAAAATTCTATTGAATTTCTATTGAACTGTTCTATTAGTTTTTGGCCGATTCTGTTGAAATGTTCAATAGAAAATATTCAGTAGAAAAAGTCAATAGAATTCAATTTTTCTATATAACTTATTCTACTGAGATATTTTCTATAGAAAAGAAAAATATAATTTAAAAAACTTAGAAAATTTGAGTAGAGCAAATTCTATAGAAAATATATGAAAAGAATAAGTTAAATACAAAAATGGAATTCTGTTGACTTTTTCTATTGAATGTTTTCTATTGAACATGTCAATAGAATCAGCCAAAAACTAATAGAAAGTGTAATAGAAATTCAATAGAATTTTCCAAGGAATTCGATAGGTTTTTCTATTAAATTTTTGAGTGAGTGTTATTCTTTTCTCATTCTCTTCAAATATTTTCTACAGAATTTCCTCGGTTCAAATTTTCAGTTTTTTTTCATTCGATTTTTAATTTCTTCTCATCAAGAAAATCAAACAAAAAAAAAAAAAAATTTAAGCCGAGAAAATTCTCTAAAAAATATCTCAAAAGAATAAGTTACATAGAAAAATCGAATTCTTTTCATTTTTGCTATTAAATATTTTCTCTTGAGCCGTTTCAATAGAATCGGCCAAAAACTAATAGAAAGTTCAATAAAAATCCAATAGAATTTTCTAACGAATTCGCTAGGTTTTTCTATTAATATTTTCATCCGGGTTTATGAGCGATACTGCCTGTGTACCTCAGAGCTTACACAGGCAGAAGAGCAGAGGTATGAAGGCCCCGATAGCTACGAAAACCGGTAGCATTATCGATGAATCGTCGATTGAGTAGGGGTCAGGGGTCCGGGGACCACTCGTGTGTCTACTGCGAACTGGAGATTCTTCCTCGTCCTCCTGCATCCCGTGGTATTCCTCTGGGTCTTGGGGGATGGGACCCAGTTGTGGTACATCTGATGGAATTAACGGATCAATTAGGATTTTTTGTAAATTCGATTTTGAAGGCATTGATTCAGTAGTAAAGTGGTAAAACGGTCCAAGTCGATTTTGACTATTGGCCAGTTTTCATTGAATATCTCGGAATCTAAGGGGGCTAGCAAAATTTGTGGCAGGAGCTTTTTTGTAGGGCGCATTGAGGACTACAAAAAAGGTCATGACAAAAATTTCCTTATCTCCTTCAGATTAGGAGATATTCCTCGAAAACTCAGGCAAGGGATTAACCGTTAAGAGTTAACGGTTTCATTTTTAACATCTTGATACAGATGACATTATTTTCGTAACGAGGGGTTTTGAGAGAAAATGGCAGAACGAATTTCACATCTTGTAGAATATTGAATGAAATGATTCTTTTGATGAGTTATTTTAAGAGAGAATGTTAAACGTTTTTTCAATTTTACAGAAGAAATGGGAAATTATAAAAAAAAAGACGTCACATGTGATGTATTGCATTTTTTCAGATGAATGCAGAATTAATTTGGGGAATATTTTGAGAAACATCTTCTGGAGAAAATGAGTAGAGGACTTTCTGCGGAAAATGGAGAAATCTTGCGTTTTTCCATAATTTTGAACGAAATTCACAGACTTTTTTTCTATGTCCTGAAAGAATCATTTAGGGAATCATTTATTAATTTAGTGTAAAATTTCCTGATCCACAAGAAAAGTAACTTGAAATTTTCTCCCGAAACCACTCGTTTTTTTAAAGATAAATAATAAACTTGGATTATTGGATCTGAGAAAGTTCTTTTATCTGAAGATATTATTGTTGAAAATGAAATGTTTGTCAGTTGAGTGTCGTCACAAGACGTGCATTCAAGCAAAATTTCAAAGCTGATTCATCGCGTTTTACTTTATTGCTGACAAAACAAAAATTTACGGTAAAAAACTCAGAACAACTTGGAAGGGAAATACATAAAAAATTACGATGGGCCGGGTGCAGCAGGGCCTGTTTACGAAATAAATCTCCAAAAATAAATTTATGTCAGTAGTAAATTTTACTCCACAGTTGGACACATTCGGTCGCAATTATCGACTGAATATCTCATAATAATGGATATTACTGGCAAATAGTGATAATCCATCGATATATTACGTTATTTGGTGAAAAATCTTCGATGAACTTGCAATCAAAATTGATTTTTAGATTAATCTCATTTGTTCCAATACTTGACTGAGGATTTAGTTCACAGGGTTTGATGCAACCACCTGTATGATTTTTGTATTATCAAATTAGATCCTGTAATTGACCTCGTCCTGTTAGGTCTTAATGAAAATGAAATGAAAACGAAATAGGAGAGGCTGGGGTAAAATGGACACTTTTGACTTTTTTTTTAATGTTAATGATGGGTTGAAATGTTGATGAAATTTAGTAATTTTTTTTTCAATGCAAACAACAATTATTTCCCATTGTGATGAGCTTAAACTGATCTCAATTAATAAATTTGTTTCTGAGTTATGAATAATGTTAAAAAAGTCTAAAGTGTCCATTTTCCCCCACCCTCCCCTAAAAATGAAATGAAAACGAAATAAAAATGAAATGAAAAATGTCTCCACATTTCCTTTTGCAATGCCCTCCATGGAAAAATATACAAGATATGAACGAATTTCCTCCATTCAAGCCACACTCCTCAAAATATATTTTCCCACGTGAGCACACTTATGAAAAAATCGTACAGACATTCCCTATACGGATTGCGTATAGAAATTCTATAGGATTTCCGTATATGATATCCGGACATTTCTATACGAATTATTTCTATACATAAATTTTCACATCAATTTTTGTTTTCATACGAAAGATGTCTAAACGCTCCAGAGAAAAACGTAGAGAAATGTCGCAACTCCATACGACATGGTTCTATACATGTGGCAGTGGGCCGTATAGGATCAAACCTATAGAAATCGTATAGAAATAATTTGTGTAAAAATATCCGGATAGAAATATCCGAACATCATATACGAAAACCCTATACAAATTCTCCGTATGGAAAATTTCTATACGATTTTTTCGTACGTGTGTAACTCACCTTGTTCAGTTAGGTCTTTATGAAATGAAAATGAAATGAAAAATGTCTCCACATTTCCCTTTATAATGCCCCCCTGGAAAAAAAATACAGTATATCGTCGAATTCAAAGTAGCTCTACCCTTACGGTAAATTCAAAGATTATTAAAAACTGCAAAAAAATTGCAGAAAACTCGATTACATTCGGAATTCTAATTTCTTTCTCAATTTAATTATCGTTTTGGTTTTTCAAAGAAGAAATGTTTAAAAATCAGGATTTAACCCATCGTCTTATGTGAAAATCAACATTTCCATTGTAATCAAAGATTAAAATCTTATGTGTTTTCATTAATGTGAAAAAATCAAGAATTTTGTTGACACCTCATAAAAAGTAATTCACAGTTTTGCAAACAAGTTTTATTATTTATTTATAAGAGGGAAATGTCTGAAAAAATAACAATATTTTGCGAAATTTAATTTTGATAATACTGCCTGGGTATGAATTTTTTCAATTTTTTCCATGCAATTTAGTTGACAAATTAAAAAACTGAAAATATCCAAAAGTACAGCGTAGCCCGGCCGAAGGGTAGAGCTGCTTTAATCCATTCAAACCATATTCCTCAAACTATATTTGTTCACACCCCTGCACGGAAAGTTCATGCTTCCCCCCCGCTCATCAAAGAGCAAAATACGAACTTTCCTTTGCAGGCGTGTTAAAAAATGGCATGTTCACCTCGGGCGGAAAGTCTTGACTTTGAGCCCTTGATGCACAACATACTATTCCCACGTGAGTCCCCCCCAGTCCTCCCCCAATGTCTTACCATCAACAGTTCCCTTGATGACAGCAATAGCATTGACTTTGGGGTTGTCTCTATACCCCTTGATAAACTCCACCCGTATCTTTCCCCCAAGAATGTCCGACTCCTCTTCATTATAAATCAGCTTGCCCCGTTCCACCCTGAAGGGCACATGCTCGTCATGAGCGATTCCTCTCCCCACCCTCTCGAAAATATCCAGATCAGTGACAACCGTGTGATCCCCATTGAGCACCACATCGAATACTTTCATGTTCGGTGAGTTGAAGTAGACCTCGCAGAACTTGAGGACAAGTACGTAGTCGCCATCCTCGCTGATGGGTATGTCATACCCAAATGTCGAGTGATGATACCTCTCGGTCTGGTAGAGAATCTGATCCATGGTGTTGACCCTTCCAATGATCAGTTGCTTTCCGTAGTCCGAGGCTGTCCCAACTTTGCCCATCAATGGGTCCCTCATGTATCGGACCCCATAGCTGTCCGTATGGGTCTCACCCCCCGCGTTAATCGCGTAGATCACCTCCAGACACACCGCATTGGGCAACTCGAGTGTGACAATAAACAAATGCAAGATTATCATGCACCTGGAGACTCCCAACATCTCGACCTTTATCCGCAGACTCATGTCATTTGATTCTCCGATTTATTTGATTTGTGTTGGGTCTAGGATTTCAATCTCACTCGCATTCCTGACGACTCTAGGTTATGTACAGTCGAGTGTTGGAGCACTGGGGTTATTGTTACTATGTTCAGTCTCACGGAGAATGGGTGTCCGCCCTTGGGGATGGGGTTTCTCTCTCAAGTTTCCTGGTTTTTTCAGCGGGTGAGGACGAGCTTTGGGGATACTGCCCGGCGTGGCCACGTACAGCCACGTATATACATTGGAGGTACTTCCATTCTCTCTCTTCTTCTACTCGTCTCTCCTTCTCCCACATCTTCTCATGACACTCACTATACTATTTCTCTAAAGTTTTTTTCCCCCGCCGTTTTCCCTGTGATGTCTTGACGTTGAAATTTATAGATGGCGCTATTAATCGGCCATAATAATCCGCGAGATTCGAATTATTGTTGGAAAATAATTTGAATAGTTCAGAAAATTAAAAAATATACCGGAAATAGAAGAATAAAGAAAGTCTGGAATACAATGGACAAAGAGAACGAAAAACAGCATCGCAAGCGTGAGAAAAACCGTTACGGAAATAGTAAATGTCAAATACTTGAGTTTTGTTCTTATAATTTACAACCCTCCAAAATTCTCGTTGAGTAAACACTTTCCTCGAAAATCCAAAATTTAGAGAAGAAAATAAATTTAACGGTTACGGTCCCATGTCGTAAAATCTCAGTTCTGGTTATTTCGAAAGTTTCTCTGTTTCACGTGACCAACACGTGTGGGCTCTCCTTTGTTCATTGTTTCGCTAGGCTGAGGGCCTGAGACCCTTCGCGACGAAGTTTCACGACGTCACACGCTCCCCTTCTTCCCCTTTTTTCATTTCCCCGCTTTTCATTGAGTTTCACCCTTCCCTCTCCCCTGGGCCAGGATTGCGCGCGCAACTTTTGGTCCAGTGGGGTTGCTGGACCCAACCCTTGGAGTTAAGTTTAAGTTTAAGTCAGTTCCATCGTGGAAATTGGTGGTGAAGCCTTCAGCTTCCAGCTTCTCTCTTCAAATAGTTTTTCAGTAGAGTTTTTCTAGAGTTTATTAAATTCATTTTTTTTAGTGCAAAGTTTAAAGTCTGAAGTTGAAGTATTTTGCATATCTTAAGCACTCTCTTAAGCACTTGTGTTGAAATTATTTCACAATTCAACCCTTCCAACCAAATATTCTGGGATTAAACAATTGGACTTCGATGGAATGCTCATCAGAGCTTTGGCGGCTAACGAATCTACAATTAAAATTGGCGCTTTAAATTCTATTGGCGCCACTGTCCTCCTAGTTACTTCGGTAGGACATAACATCCCCACCATTCACTCCGATTCCATCATTCCGCCCCAGCGAAACCGAGCAGCAAGCACGACAAGACGACAACGCATTTTCAGTCGGTCTTCGCACCCTACTTCAGCTCGTTCAGGAACTTAAGGAACTTCCGCAGTAAGTATACTTGGTGAAAATTTCGAAATGGTATAAAGACGCAATATTTGGATCATATGTTGTTGAGCACATTCAAAAACTATTCCCAAAATTTCAAGTACCTTGTCGACCCTATTTTCGAGATATACATCGTCAAAAATGGAAAAAACACAAAAATTGAATGTTTGGCGATGCATATTTCAAAAATGGGATGGACCAGGGACTTGAAATTTTGGGAATATCTTTTTAATGTGGTCTTTATACCATTTCGAAATTTTCACCAAGTATACTTACTGTGGAAGTACCTTAAGTCCACGACTGTACAGTTGTGGGAGTACGAACGCCCTCCCCCTCGAAGAACGAAGCACGAATCATAATGAACGAGCGTAAGGACATGGGACTTTTCACATTCATGGACGATTATTTATCAAAAAATATTAATTATCATAATTAATATAAATAAATTCCAATTCTGAATATGTAATTTAAATCATCGCATCTTCACGCTTATTTCGATAGAAATATTGGATGACTAATGATGTGTGTTCACCTTAGCTAAACGAGCGTAGGGTCATTTACCTTAACCAATATAATTTACAATCGTCAAAAGAAGTTCGTAAAGAACGTGAAGTTGGATCCTGTATAAGTCTATATGGGATGCAACTTCACGTTCTTTACGAACTTCTTTTGACGATTGTACAATCATTTACTAAAGTTCTGAAACGATCTGAACTTGGATCCTATGTATTTTGTTTCAGAACTTCAGTAAACGACTGTATACGCTCAATTCTTCTGTCATATAACGGTCATAAATTTGTCATGTGACAAAAAAATGACGAACATTTTCACATTTCTACTCTTGATGCCGTGCACGGAGAGAAACATTCAATAAAAATTACATATCTGTTCCGTAATTCCGGAGCAAAATGTGGTTGTAGGAAATTTTACGGAACTGTCACGGAATTTTTCCAGAGCGTTACGTGTTTTTTATCTGAATCTCCTGTGAAAAATTACGATACCGTCGCTTAAATTTTCTGAGTCGATTCCATAATTGGTGAGCGAACTGCGAGTTCTGTAATTTTTACAGAACATTTCTCTCCGTGTGAGTCACTCCAGTGTTGTTCTGCCCAAAGAAATTCTTCAGGAGGAAGAGATGGGATCGCAATGTCCCCGATTGACAAATAGCCCTGACAAAATTATTTTACACATAAACGAGTTGAAATTTTATTATTTTCATAAATGTCTTCACAAATGTACGGTTAAATAATGTTTTAATGATTAGTAATGAATTATTAGTTCATAAATTGTGAAAATGGTTTCCTAAAATTCCTCAAATGATTTTCCAATCATTTCGTCGATTGGGTCCACACCCCAACCCTTACCCCTACTGTTAGACGGTCTGCGGCCCCTGTTCTGCCATGGGCGGGAACCATCGCCGCTACGTCTGTTGCCATTATTAGCTGATGTGCCAGAATTAGACTGATCCCTGCAGTCTTTATGGAAATTTTCGAATGTAGATCTCTTCAAAATTTTTTGGAATTGTGATAGTGGACAAGTCATTCCACAGCCAGGAATAGTCAGCTGAACAGAGGTTTTTATCAGAGGTGTGCCATTGTTGTACAACACCTAAATATAAAAACAAAATCAAATTATTCATAAAATATTGTTTTCAAATCATCTAATTTTCGTCAAATGTCCACCAACCTTGACATAAAATTTATTCCGCATCTTGTGCAACTCCAATGTGACAAAACTGCCGTAATTAGGAATATGCTGGAAGTCATAAACCTGCAGAGCAGCTAGAAGTCCGGTTAGGTGGACATCATTTCCCACGTAGACAAATACTCTCCTTTGCTCATTACCCCTCACGTAATTGTTAACATTGTTCAAGAATTGTTTGATGTGGGTACCTCCAGTCAGGCGCTTCATACTATCCGAGTCGGTCAGGAGCTTATTCCCCAGAAGAACCAGATCCTTCAAAGGTCCATTTACAAATAGTTCCTCCTTGAGGGTCTCTGAGGGAAGGCCAATATTCGCCTAAAAGGATCCAATTATGATTAATATTGTAAAGTTATAAGACCATTTATCAATAGAAAGAGTTGATTAAATAATTGATTTAGAAAAGAGACGATCGTACATGAAGGTGGTTGAGAGGGAGGAAAAGAACAAATACGCAACAATATGATTTTGATTAAGGTATATTTGCTATAGGATTCCCTATAGAATTTCCTATCAGATTTATGAACCTAATCCTGACACTAGTGACCGATTGGTTTCAAGTCTCAATTTTGTGTGTTACTTTCTATAGAAAACCCTATAGTGAATTCTATAGGAAATCCTATAGAAAATCCTATAGGAAATCCCACCAGAAAAATCCTGTAGGAAATGTTCGAATTCTCCATAGGATTCTTTCATACGTGATGCTCCCTGTCAACTCCATAATCAATAAATTACCCGATTTCACTGATCCGAATGCACTTTTTTTCAATCGGACGAAAATTCAATGAGACAAAAAAGAAGTTGACCAAAAAATGAGTAGACGAAAAAAAAGTGGGAAATTGCTTTTGACTTCGTATAGCATAGTTATTTTTACTAGTACGTTAGCAATATGTTTTCGAATGGTCATTTGCACATCATTCTCTTCTATCGTAGATCATTTATCATTTTATTTTATTTTGTTCAAATGAACCATATCTTCTGTTTAATCGTCTTATTTTCGGCTGATATGTAACATGAATGGAAATTTGAGGAAATACGAAAAATCGCCGGTGGTCGGGTTTGAACCCACGACCCTTAGGTTCCCAGTCTGAGACTCACGCCCATGGCTATTCTCTCAGTATCGTCTCTTTAATCAATTGTGTTCGATTTCTCGTGAAATTGCTTGGATAAATCAAATGAAAGAATGATGCTAGTGAAAAGAAAATCATGTGATAATATAACGGAGGGGGGGGGGGGGGGCAA